GGTGCAGGGCTTCTCCCCCTCAAAAAGAGGTGCTGGTTCACAGCAGCTCAGCCCCCAGGCACCTCCTGAACCCCAGCAGAGGCTCTGCCCGTCGTACCATTCACAGAGTCACTGGGGTTGGAAGGGCCCTCTGGAGCTCACCCAGTGCAACCCCCTGCCAAGGCAGGGCCTCCCAGAGCAGGGCACACGGGAGCGTGTCCATGGTGGCCTTGGGATGTCTCCAGGGATGGAGACTCCACAACTCCCCTGGGCAGCCTCTGCCACCCTCATGCTGAGGTGACACTTGGTGTGTGTTAGTTTCTGGCCACTGCTCCTTGTCCTGTCGCTGGGCACCACTGGGAAGAGCCTGGCCCCATCCTCCTGGTACCAGCCTTCAGATACTGATCTGCACTGATGGGATCCCCCCTCAGGCTGCTCTTCTCCAGGCCCAGCTCCCGCAGTCTCTTCTCCTCAGAGAGAGGCTCCAGACCCCTGAGCATCCCTGGACCCTCTCCTGGAGCTTCTTGTACCGAGAAGCCCAGAAGCAGACACCGTGCTCCAGATGTGGCCTCACCAGGGCACTGCTCCCTGGGGAACACCACTGACCACAGGCCCCCACCCTGGATTCTCCTCAGCTGATCCTCTAAGCTCTGCTGTTCAGCCAGCTCCCCCCGCCCCGACTCCTCAGGCCCACGTGTGCAAGACCCCAGATGTTCAGATCCATCCAAAGCAGTCACAGCAACGAGGAGGCACTGCAGGCTCTCTGCCTGCGCACCGTGCCAGCACGCAGGGGTCCCTACCTGCAGCTGCCAGCAAAGGGCTGTGGGTACACACAGCTCCAGCACTGGTGTTAAATCCTCTGGGCAAGAGTTGACTTGGGCCTCTCCAGGCCTTGGTGCTGCTATTCTGGGGGAGCAGCAGTTTTGGAAGGGCTTGGGACATTTTTAGACCGTCACACAGGAAAACCAGATCCTGCCAGAAAATCCCTCGAGTGGATTAACCTGCATAAAGCATGTCTGCAGCAGGGCACGGCTCTGCTGCTCTGCTCCTCCAGCACAGCCCAACGAAGGCAAACCTCTGCTCCAAGCGAGACCCTCGTCCCTGCACCACGAGGCACCGTGGCAGCAGAAAGCAGGAGGGGGAAGTTCCTCTCCCAGCCCGCAGGAACGTGAGCACACATCCCAAGCTGGGATATGCAGGTCCCAGTTTAAGACTCCTCATTTTCTGGGAGGACCCTGGCAAAAGCTGGCCTTGACTGAGCACCCCAGGGGCCGCTCGGTGTGGGGCTGCCCCGGGCCCTGTGGGGCCCCTCAGCCCCAGGAGCAGTGTGTGAGCCAGCACTAAACATCACCATGGAGACTGGAGATGATTCCACCCACTTGTAGAGCTGGAAACCAC